TTATCTGATTTCATATTCAACTGCAGATCCTGAAATTGTACAATACAACCTACATTTTTTGCAATTCAATGCAATCATAATATACTATAATACCAAAGTGGCAAAAAACTAAAGCTGGATGCATTCTCTAACTCTCTCTAACCAAGAAAACCACATGTGGTAGAGCTTGGAAAAACAGAGATTTTTTAACCTTTTTCTCAACAACCAATAAACTGCAACAAATAATTGTATCAAAACCACATTTTCTAATGAATTTCATAAATACAGAATAAAATGTAGAAATCCAGCATTTCAAAGGGCTAGATGGAAAGTATTAAGCAAATTCACCAACTTCCAGTACTTTCTCAGTTCCAGCTAATTGTGCGTCACAACTGTCTACATACAAACAGACAACACAACTGTCTTTTAAGAATTAGAAGCTGAGGGATACCCTTTTCCTCTCCTTTCAGATATTGGATAAAGACTAGAGCAAACTATATAACTATCTTCTTTACAACAAAAACAAAAAACTTTGCCCTTAGGTTACACTTGATTTAATAGACAGATGATAGCCCATTAAATCAAGGGATAACTTTAAGGCAAAAATATCAAAATAGTTTGTCAAACAGACAAGTTGCAAACAACAACACAGACATCTCCTTACCCAACACAAGCTGTCTAAACTCATCGTAGGTAGGAGCTGAGTGGATGGCACGGATTTTGGCAGAATTTTCCGCTGCGTAGCGTCTGTCCGCTTCAATTCCCGCTCTCAGACGTGCCTCGAGCTGGCCTGGATCAACACCTCCTTCCCATCCTCCACATGCCATTGTGCAGCTGAAATTTTTTTTTTAAATATAGTATATGATGCCATTTATTCTTACGACTATAATCTTTCTCCTTGCATTTTTTATATGTTACTGTTAATAGCATCATCATCATTATTTTCCAGAATACTGCTCAAAGATTTTCATGCTTTTTAACTATTCCTGTATTTTTATGGGGGGAGGGGGGGTCTTCTTAGTTCTCACACAAACTAAAACACTGTAGAACACATGATACATCTGTCACCAGGAAATAGTAAAAATAAAGATATATTGTTTCAATTCAAATACATATTACCCTCTTAGACTTGAGCAAATAAAGAAAAAGAAAAGAAAAAAAAAATCATAAATAAATAACAATAATGAGACTGGAATATGGAAGTACAAAGGAAATATGGTATAAGATATAAAAACAAAGAGTATTACATGGACTTCTCAAATCATTGCAAAACAAGATGGGGCAGGATACGAAACAAAACAAAACAGAAACAGAAACAAAACCAGACAAGATAGAATAATAGAAGAATATAATTGTGCTGGAAAGAAAAAGAAGCAGCAAATAATTAATGAAAGGAGTTGGCAGTTACCAGTCAAATCACAATAATTAGTTGGTGATCTATATTTCATTGAGAAACTAAAAGATCAAATCTAAAAACTTAGCACATACATGTAATAAACACATAAACACACTCTCACTCTCGCTTATTCAATATCTGCGTGTGCAAATGTGTCTCTATGACTGAAGACCTAAAAATGCATTTTATACATTCTCTAAACTTCTCTTCTGGCTTCAAGGCACACTTAAGTAAAAATAAAAATATACTAGTATCAGTAACTTTTTTTTTATACCCCATTATAATTCTTTCAGTTATGATATAAATGTATTAGAAATGATGAATGCCTATACAGACTACTTGCCAATATATAGAAGGACAATACATTAAATTGTCTTGAATGAAGTAGGCCAATCCAGATATTAATGAATATTCAATTAATACACCAGATCAATAAGACTCAGTTTCTCAACCATGAATTCAAATTATTTATTATATATCTGCTATACACTTTATGAGGGAATTTAAACACTAACTTCTTGAGAAGTAAGATCCCTGATAGTTTCCACTTGATTCCAGCATAAATAGTGGCATTTGGATTATCTCTTGACTCAACTATGATTCATTATGGAAACTTAACTCTGAGATTCTCTGATGTTTAATTTTACTAATGACCTGGTTAATCCTTCTTATTTTGATCTACCACGCTTGCTTCATTCTTTTCAGCTGTCAATGACAAAGATTTTTGCTATCACACTAAGACAATTCATCTGTAATATACAACCCAAAGGAATATTCTACCATAACAAAGGTTTATAATAACCACTGGCTTAAGGATAATCACACACCAATATGTACCCTTGTGACAAGAACAAGGTGGTGAATACTGTCATCCATGTACTTAACTCATCAATAGGTTTTCCTTGAACTGTATTCATTGTAACAAATGTAGAAAAGGTATGAATGAGAATGAATATCTTCACAATACAAGAAATGTATTTAACCTGCTTCAAATAAATCTTCATAAGAAATACACGACGAAAAATTTATATGAACCCGATAAAATACATCTCTAGAATTGTGAAAATATTCATCCTCATTCATACCTTTTCTACAACAATTTCCTTATCAAAAAGCATATAAACT